TTTTCCAACCTCTGGTTTAAAGTTATAATGTAGTTGTGTCTTGCACCAAATTTCCGCATTTGATGTGCATAGAGTTTAAGTTGGGTTAATGCAATCTTCCGTTCTTCAGGCGATATTGATCACAACATGCTGAAATTAAAGCAGCTGTTCTCTGCCAGCCACCGTTCCATGGGGGACTTGAAAAGATCTGTTTTATGTTAAAACCTTTTTCATAAAAATAATGATGCTACATGTTTTGTTGTGGTCTGTATGTAGGGGGATGCATTTAAGGAGGAGTACTTTGGATTTTATCATTGTTGTCTTTGTACCTGGTAAACTCGTAGCTCGTTTTTTGGAGATTTACCAATTGATAGGGAACATTACGAGCACAAGGCTTTTTTTTCAGTAGGGCTACCGATCGATTTTTTGTTGTTGAGTTGGTCAATTGTGGTCAATCTTAGGTTGCTTTATATTCTTATATGGTTGTTTATTGGCGCAAATGACCAACTTCTCCAAGCATCATATGATGCCTAACTTATAGGGGCCCTCATGGCTATTAGTGGCTCTTTAATCACTCTTTACAGTCCCTAGTGCCCTATACATATCACTTTTTAAATAGGAGCAAAATATAGCGCTTATTCCAAAATAAGAATGACATTATTATTTCAAAATAGGACATTCACATTGGGACTATATGGCACTCTATATCGGCATTTGGCAATGTTTTTTGGTATTATATGTTGACATTATAAGTCTTATATTGGGGATAAAAATATACTCCCTAATTGTCCTACTTTAGTTCCACATGTCTTACTCTTATTTTAGTATTAATCTGAAATTTTTCACTTTTTTTGTATGTGAAAAGGCCTCACTTTTCTTTTAAATTAAAGATTTAAAGAATTGTGACTTAGAAAATTTATCTCTTCTTTTACACAATTCTAAACACAGTTTTTTTCATTTTCAAATACTTTTTTTTAATTTTGTGGAAGTCAAAGTGAGGATTTTTATGGGATGGGGGAGATAATATGTAATAATTTTTTAAAATACCTCAATGGAGTTGATCATATTAAAAAATAAATGGGATCACCCTTCTTCGGTATGATGATGGTGAATTTGAACGTGGAGAATTTTGCGTGCTTTTACAACATGAACATTATGCACTAGGAAACATAGTTTAAAAATACCTAATGAGATCTACCACAACAAGGCTTTTGGAGAATGGTTGGTGGTCGGTAGATGACACTGGTGGTCCATATATGCTTTTATTACCATGTAGTGATACAATGTTTCTTTTATTGAGATTTAAAATCAAAGTGTAAGATATTGAATTCAACAAGATCATTGGCCTGTTTGGAAATAACAATAGCGATTAGCGTTAACGTTTTGAAAATGCTATCTACGGACTACGTTTAGAGTTAGCGTTTTCAAAGTAATCTGCACCGTTAAAATTTTATCTAAAACGCCAACGCTTATTTCTAACGATATTCTCAAACAGGCCACATTAGAAAAATATAAGGTCCACCTTAAACTCAAAAAAAGAGCTTAATGCACCTTTACTGCACTAACCACCTACGACGATTATGCACCTAGCACCGCTGGCTTCAATGCAGTACCACATATCATCTTTGTTGTCGCTCACACTGTAACCGAGCCCCACTACTCCTCCTCAATCATCACCGCCCTCGCCCCGCGCTGTTGGTCTCCCCCATTGCTGATCACTCGCCATCGTTGTCCATCCACTAGTGCTGGCTTGATCCTCACTGTCGTTGGCTACATATCGCTATGTCATTCTTCGTTGCTGGTCACCCTCGTTGCATGCCACCCACCGTCGCCCAACACATGCCCTTGATGGTCACTCTTCGTCATCGACCACCTCCTTCTATTGCTAACAGCCATTATTTTATATTTTTTCAAACACTTTTATTTTATATTTCAGATTTTAGAAGACAACGGTTCTAACACATACTTCTTCGTCTCAAAAAAGTTTCACATATTCACTATTCTTCATTAAACTTTAATTATTTTTATGCTCATCTTTATGACTCATTTAATAAAATAAAAATAATGTTATCACCTATTATTTTATGAATTTTTTGGTATCATTTTTAATACATAAAATTCATTTTTTTCATATAAATTGAATTAAGCCAAACAAATTGGGGGGGGGGGGGGGNGGGATTGCGTGAAGTTTTGTATTGAAAATGCACATTAAGAGCATGTTCTTTAGGGTTTGAAAAAAGAGCTGGATGTTGGAAAAAACTGGAAAAAACTAGAAGGAACTCGAAGAACGGAAAGAAATTGAAAAAAAATTGAAAGGAACTCGAAGAAATTGGAGAAAACTAGAAAAACTTCAAAAAATTGGAAAGCCTAGAAAAGCTTTAAAAAATTTATTTTGGTGTGTTTTTATATTATTCTGATTCTAATTTTTGTTTTTATAAATTATTATTATTATTATTATTATTATTATTATTATTATTATTATTATTACTATTATTACTATTACTATTACTATTACTATTACTATTATCATCATCATCATCATATTAATTACGTTATCTTAATGAATGCCTTTAAGATAAAAAGTATTGTTATTTTTCAAATACAACAAAACTATTTTTGCAAAAAAATATAAAATTAGCATAAATATCAAGATTTTGTTTTAAATATCAGACATGTCACGTAATATAATCAAACCTATTTTTTTCTTTCATGATTGATATGTAATTTTAATTGTAAGTGCTAGTTTTGGAATAAAGACATAACGTTTTTTTAGTCCTATTTTAGTCTTTTTCTCTTAACTCTTTTGACTTCCAATTTTTTCATAAAAATAGAAAAATGAGAAAATTTTGAGTAAAGAAGGGAAATGTAAGAGCTCTTATATAAAGTTAGATTAATAAAACATTCTATGTAACTATTTTAGCCATGATTTTTTAATATTAATGTTTTCCTGTTTTATCATGTAGATTAATATACAAATAATTCTCTTATTCATATTAAAAAGTTGAAGAAAAATAATGAGTGTGAATCGTAAAAATACTGAGAAGAAAAAAATAATTTATAAACTTTAGTTTTGAATATAACAGTTGTAATAATGATGATAATAATATTAATCACATTAAAAATATCTCGTTTTAGAATATTTGGTTGGAGAGTAGAAAGAGTTTGAAGAAAATGAGAATAGTTGAAAGAAACTAGGACTGAAGAAACTGGTAGAATTGAAAGAAACAGGAAGGAACGGTAAGGACTGGAAGAAAGTGGAAGAAGCTAGTAGTTAAGAGTTTAAGTCCTAAAGAACAAGCACTAAGAGTTTGTTCTTTTCACATGTTCGAATTGATTTTGATTTGGTTGTTATAAACTCTGTTATGCTCTAATATGCTCTGATTACAATTATAATTAAAGCTTTTTCTGATCTGATTAGTTACAAACTGATTCTAATAAAAATAAGTAGTAAATAAAAAGAATAAGTTGAAACAAACAAACCCTTGTTCCAAAAGGTGAAAGAGTTCACTCGGGTGTCCCTCACTTCTTGTCCGATGAGATTGTGAGAGGATGTAAATCATGATGATGACTCAACTGACAATGCATAAAGAAATCCCCTCATTTTCTTGAGAGGTTGCTCCCACACTACTACTGATGAGACTCGATTCTTGATCACTTATTCTAAATTCCACATCTGAAACTAGTTGAGCTGCCCATGTAGGCGAAAAAAAACAAACTCTAGCATTCTAGGTGGAATTATCATAGCAAACTAGTGGGATTATTTGATTTAAAAAATGAGTAAATTCCATTAAAGGTTTCTAGTTATAGTTTGTTTTAGTCCCAAATTATTATAAAGTTTTTCACAAATGGTCCTTTGTTAACATTTCCGTTAAAAACGTGGATAAAATTGTAAATTCACGCTCCTCTCTCTCCTCAATTAAGATTTCTCTCGCTTCTCGCACTCCTTTCCAAACCCGTTGCTGATTTTGAAGCTTTGAACCCAAAATCGAAATCATCACTCCTCTCCCAATTGTTCGTCTTCTTGGTAGAATCCAAAATCAAAACCAGTAACCTTCATGGATGAGTTTTAATTTATTTTTTTTTTGCAATTTCGTGAGACTAACTCATAAAACTCATCCATGAAGGTTATTGGTTTCGATTTTGAGTTCTTAGGAAGATGAAGAATTGAGAGACAAGTGATCATTTCGATTTTGGTTTTAGAGCTTCTAACTCGGCAACAGATTTGGGAATGAGTATGAGAGGAGGGAGGAAGCATAATTGAAGAGAGAGGGGCGTGAATATACAAAATTATTCATGTTCTTAACGGAAATGTTAACAAAGGATTATTTGTAAAAACAATATAATAATTGACGACTAAAATATTGATATATGATATGTATGAACTAAACATGTAAAACATCTAATAACTGAGAACTTTTTGTGGAATTTTACTCTTAAACAATTGGTGTAATTTGGGATTAAAAAATTTGCTCAAATTTTCCGTAAATACGTAAATAAAAAGGGAGTTAATGACAAAAACTTGCAAAAAATTGCTGTCAGGTACCCTCTATTTTGGCATAAAGACTCGCAGGTCCCATTTTTTTCTAAAACTTACTCTTGGGGATTTAAAATATGATGTTTGTGACTGAAGAGGGAACTTCCGTCCATTGCACCGTTTCCTACCTTAACTCTGGTTATTTTAATTAAAAAAGGTTGTGAAATGCCTAATATAACCCTCACTCTTTCCTCTTTAATGTTAGAAAAGCTGAAACACTAGGGTTTCAAGTTTACGGCTTTGCTTCGAAGGAGAGAGACGAAGGAGAGTGTCGAAGCTTCATCTGTGCTTCTTCAGGTATTATCTGAAATTGGCTAAGCTCTCGTGCTTGTAACCTGTTCAACATGAGTTTGGGGTTTATTGCATTTAGGCGCAGGTTTATTCTACATTTGAATCTCGTGCTTGAACTGATCTTGAATCTGATCTTCGATCAGTAATGGATTCGAGGTATTAAAGCAAATATTATTACTGTGAATTACTCTACATAGTTCATTTATAACTATACGCTCTGTTTTTTGATTTTTTTACTAGCCACTCTTTCAATTCATCAAGAAGAATTTGTGAGTATGGTGAATGGTTGGAGGTACCTACCTGTAGGTGCGGGAAAGACATGACTATTCTTACATCTTGGACTGATAAGAATCCCGGAAGAAGAATGTGGAAGTGTGATGGAAATGTAAGACATATATTTAAGTTTTTTTAGCGATATTAATTTGTTTTTTGCTAAAGTAGGTTGATGTTGAACAGGGTACTCGGAAATGTTGTTCTTGGGAATGGCTCGATCCTCCAATATGCGACCGAGCTAAGAAGCTCATTCCCGGACTTCTAAAGAAGAGCAGTGCAAAAGATGAAGAGATAAAGCTTCTAAACAAGCGTATCAAAGAGAAGAAAATTGGAGCCTTTATGTTTGGGTTTTGTGTTGCATTGGTCCTCAACATGGCAATATTTGTATTGTTTATGTAATTTGATGTTGCTTGAATCCTTGAACTAGTGTTTGTATGATTTATGAAAACGAGTTTGTATTTTGATGTAGTGTTTGTTCAATTGGTACACTTCATGTGATGTTTTTGGAACTCATGATGTTTGTTCAATTCCATCCCGATCTCAAACCATCTCGAACCAACCCGTACCACCCCGAACCAACCCGTACCACCCCGAACCATCCCGTAACAACCCAAACCATCCCGAAGCATCCCGAAGCATCCCGTACCACCCCGAACCAACCCGAAGGCATTGGCATTGGCATAACCCTACACAGATGATTATTGAAACAAAGGCATTGGCATACTACACAGATCATTATTGAAACACAGTTCATTTTAAGAGCAGAATCAGCCAAACAAATGCATTGCCATATATATATAGTCATAAACAAAACATTCCTGGAAACAAATGCATTGGCAGGTTCATAAACCAACACAGGCCAACTGCTGTTTAATACCAAAATGCCAAAAAACTACTACATATGTTACCACGGTGCCAGAGGTTACTACTACTGCAGTGCCAAAAAAAACAAAAAGAAATGTTACAAGCAATGTTACAACAGAAAACAAAATAGAGTACATATGTTGTCCCAACTGCTTGCTTTGTTTCTTCTTCAGCAACCTCCCTCTTCATCAAACTACACTTCTGTTGTTGATTTTTTCTTCTTATTTTGTTTCTTCTTCAGCAACCTCCCTCCTTCATCTCTCATTTGCCCACAGGTCCTATGATTGTGTCCCAACTGCTTGCATTGACTGCAGTGCTTGGTCCCATGAGGCATCCTCTTCTTTTTGGCAATTATATCATCAATTCCATCTCTTCTTTTGTGCTTCTTTGGCCGCCCCTTCTTTTTAAACGCCTTGGGAGGATCAAGTTTAGGGAGTGAGCTCTCACCCCACATACAAGGGTCTGGGATAGGATGTATTATACCAATCTTCACAGTAGTTTTCAAGGTTCTCATTCATCCTCACTATGCATCTAAGAGCATGCTTACAAGGAAGGCCTGACACTTGCCACTTATTACAGTCACAGTGATGGTCTCTCAGCCTCACTGTGAAGTTGGTGTTCCCATCAACCACATCAAATTCACCTCTACCAGCTCCTACAACCTCAGAACATACTCTAGACTCCATTGCTAGCACCCTTAACTTGTTGTCTACATAAGGTTTTATTGTAGTACACCAACTCCTGCCTAAGTCAAACCTTTTTTCAAATCTATTCCCTATTAATTTCCTGATCTCCTCTAGCATTTGCAAGGTTGGCTTGGCTCTGTGTGATATTATGGCCTTATTGAATGACTCCACAAAGTTGTTTGTGTTGTCATCACACTTCAATGCAGGATCAAATTTGTGTCTGGCCCAATGTTCATGTGGTTCATTGTCCATGAGCCAGTCATAGGCATCTGCATCCTCCTCTTTTATTTTTTCCATTGCTTTTTTAAATACATATTCTGAGAAAGTATTTGCCACAATGTAGAAGAATGAATGGAACCATGCACCTGCCATTTATNGTAGTACACCAACTCCTGCCTAAGTCAAACCTTTTTTCAAATCTATTCCCTATTAATTTCCTGATCTCCTCTAGCATTTGCAAGGTTGGCTTGGCTCTGTGTGATATTATGGCCTTATTGAATGACTCCACAAAGTTGTTTGTGTTGTCATCACACTTCAATGCAGGATCAAATTTGTGTCTGGCCCAATGTTCATGTGGTTCATTGTCCATGAGCCAGTCATAGGCATCTGCATCCTCCTCTTTTATTTTTTCCATTGCTTTTTTAAATACATATTCTGAGAAAGTATTTGCCACAATGTAGAAGAATGAATGGAACCATGCACCTGCCATTTATTATTTTGTAGAAATTTAGGTGATGTACTCTTGGAACAAAGATATAATAAGAAAGGCTCATGTACCTGAGAACTTTGAAGCAAAGTTCTTATAAAAGTGTAGCACACAAATCCTTCTTTTAGCTTTAGGCAGAGTATTCCTCAGTCCTTTAATTATTTCCTGTAGGATAATACATAAACAAATATCATAGATTTAATAATAATAAAAAATAATAATAGAAGACTAACTTTGAAATTAAGATTTACCTTGTGCATGTCAGATATTATTGTGTATGGGGATGCATCTGATGTGCAGCCAAGTGCCACAGCTAGTCCATGTAGGAAGAAAGACCACTCTGTTTCATCTTCACAATCAGCAATACTATATGCCAAGGGAAATTGACCATTGTTTCCATCTAAGGCCATAGCAGTCAAAAGCACTCCCTCATATGGACCCTTCAAATTACATGCATCAATACCAATCAAAGGTCTACAATACTTTTTAAAAGCTGTGATGGATGAACCTATACATATTTGACACCTCTTAAAAATTGGGTTTCTCCCTGGACCAATCTCCTGCCACCTAATGAAGCAATGGGAATCTGGATTCTTTTCTTTAAAAACCTCCATGTATTGTGGTAACATCTTGTATCCATCTTCATGCCTACCTTCAACCATACCCCTCATGACCCTAAGAGCCCTCCAGCAAGTATAATCAGGTATGCGAGTGCTGAACTTCTTCAAAATAATTTTCTGGGCAGTAACTACACTCATCTGTTTATTATTT